AAACTTCAAAATGTTACATTAGTCTTCATATGAGTAATAATTTTTAAAATGAAAATGAGTTTGAACTCATATCTAAATTTGATTTCTTGAGTTTGGAGTCTTTGAACCATTTTTTAAAGTTCCTCGCATTATTTTTCCTTCCGAAATTCCTCAATATTATCTTTCTTATTTCCTTTACCTAGCATTTCCCAAGTTCCATGCGGACCCTAAGAGTATTCAAATGGCAGGTTGCAGAGAGGGCTCTGTTCTTATGGAACAATGAGCATATAGTAGAACTGATTGCGCTGAACCGGCATGCCATTTTGCCAATCATTTTTCAAGCACTAGAGAGGAATGTCAAGTCTCACTGGAACCAAGCAGTCCACGGGCTGACCTCCAACGTCCGAAAAATGTTCCTGGAGATGGATGCTGAGCTTTTCGAGGAGTGTCAGCGAGACTATGACGAAAAAGAAGCCATTGCCGGACACTTGTTAGAGAAGCGCGAACAAACATGGAAAAGACTAGAAGACGCTGCTATGCAGGCTGCCGGGGGATAATAATTATAATTAAAACGAAATCTTGGGGTTTTTTTAAAATTAAAATTATTTATCTTGATTTTTTTCCCTTTTATTTGTGTGTGGTTTGAGCTGTGCAGAAGGGGATAGATAGATAGAGAGAGATCAAGCTTTTCTCTTCTGCTTTCTAACTACTACTACTACTACAGTGAGGAGGCCAAAGGTATGGGATATTGTTTTTATCAACCAGTCTTTTGACCAAATCCTTCTGATTTTCTTCTTCATTTTGTCATTTAGATGCACCACTCATTCTTTTGATATTTTGGACAAAACAAAATAATATAGTGTGATTGACCCCTACCCCCTTACACTGCCTGATACCTCTCAGAATAGGAAAATGAACTGTAGATTGATTGAATTGTAACCAGTTTGTTTTCTCTTCAATATTGTCATTTTCCTTTTTTTAACGTTTTCTTTTCTTCCGCGATTCCAATCGTAGCGTTTAAGGCATGCTTGGAGTCCGCAGGGGAAAGGGGAAAAAACGTGCGTTTGGTTTTGCCCCGTAAAATGTAAACGAAAGTAAAATATGATGAGACAAAAGTGTAAATTTTCGCCCAGTGCAAAAACTTAAATGGAGTGTAAGAACCATTTCGGGGTTGAACGAAGCATAGGGCTTCAAATGAATCTTGCCAAAAGAACCATTGTGCAAAAATTATTACAGTCTGAAAATTGAAAAGTTGTTTGAAAAGGAAGACAAGAGGTCTTCGTTCACCCATATCAGTCATTTTCTATTGTGGTTTTTGGAAATGGCAATTAATGAAATCCAACAACTACGATAGTGTTATAATTATCTTAAGAATTAAGCTAGGGGTACACCAGCATGGGATGCCCCAAGTGTACACCAAAGCCAACACAGACACACACAGACACAAAGTGTCTGTGTTGCACAGACATTTTGTGTCTGTGTGTGTCTGTGTTAGCTTGGTGTACATTTGGGGTACCCCATGTTGGTGTACCCCTAGCATTGCCCTTATCTTAATAGGTACGCAATAAATTTTACCTCTTGAGGGTTCTTTTAGGATGGATTAAAATTTTGTTCTTTTTAATTTATTCTTACTCTTTGTTCCAAATTAAATTATCTGTTTACTATTTCTATGATTAAATTTATACACTTTTTTTAAATTTTTTTTGGTATTCATTTGATAAAATAAATAGTCATGTCACAACTAGTTTTGTAGATCTTTTGATGTAATATTTAAAACTTCTTTTGTCCCAATTTTAATTACAAATTATTACTTCAATAAAAAATAAAAATTACATATTAAAAAATTACATCAAAAGCTCTACAAAATAAAAGAGAATAAGAATATTTTATTTTATCAAATAATCTATGAAAATACACAAATAAACAAAAATTATCAAAAGGTGAGAGAAAAAAAGATTGTAATCAAAATTGGGATGAAATACATAATTTTTATTTTTTAATTCAACACTATTTTTAATATAAAATGATTTAAAAATAATTTCAGTCAAATATTGTAAATCAAAACAAGCAATATAAATTGGGACAGAGAGAGTACTAATTATATATTTTTATTAAAATATAAATACAATCATACAATTAGATCAAAATTAATCAAATTTGGTAAAAGGAAGAAGCCCTAAGCCTATATTTATAATTAATATGTTCTCAAAGCTAATGTGCAACGAATAAAAAAGAACACAGACCCAAATCTGTGTAATTGCTTGTTGCGTAGAACTAGACCTGACAAAAAATGACTCGATCTGTTTTTGACCTGAGACCCTACCTGAAAATACTGGATTTTGAACAAAGGTTTTGCTGTCCAAACTCGAAGTTGACCGAACCCGAAATGACCCGCTAAAAATGAGTCAAACTTGATCGAACCGACCTGACCGACCCGCTAATCTAAGGTTTTTTCAAAATCATACTCCCTCCGTCCTAAAATTAATTTCTCATTTGACTTTTCACGGTCTTTAATGCGACACTTTGACCATTAATATCTCCATTTTTATATGAATATATATTATCAAAATAATATATTTCAAAACTATATTTCAAAATGAATCTATTGATACTAAATTTATATGAAAATTCCATTTATTTTTTCCGTATTATGCAGTCAAAGTTTAAAAACTTTGACAGCAAAAGTAAAAATGAGAAATTAATTTTAGGACGGAGGAAGTACATTTTAATATGAAATATAGTGTTATAAAAATAAGATTATAAATATATTTCTTTGCTTACTACTCATTTTTTGTGTATACATTTATACCATCATAACAAATTGTAATGATGTCGCATAATTATCTTATAATTTTTCAAAATTTCTACATATTATTCGTAATATTGATACTAAGTCATAAACATTTCTTAAAAGAAAAATCCTAGGGTGCCACTACATGGGTGTTACCATAGGTGCATCCATGCTTCGCATAGATAAACACAGACGATAATTGTCTGTGTCGCACAGACAATTATCGTATGTGTTTGCCTGTGCGAAGCATGGGTGCACCCATGGTAGCACCCATGTGGTAGCATCCTAGCATGGTCCTTCTTAAAATTTCAGAAAAAATAAATGAAACTCATAACCCGTTGGGTCAACACGAATCCGATGACACTAGGTCATGAACATGTAGTTATCAACCCAAACCCGAACTTATCCAAATCCGAAGTAATCCGAACTCAAGGTGACCGAACCCGAACCCGACTTTAAAATTCATTTCTTATTATTCTTTCAAATTCACCAAACGAGCCCTTAGTTTAGATTGCAGCTTTGTTTTACCTCTCAAGTAACACTCCCAACCCGACCCAAAGGAAACTTAAGATGGGTTATTTTATTTTGCACAGTCGGTAAGACCACACGATATGAGCACCGTGGTGGTTCCGTAATGGCCAGGCGGCGCCACATCACCTGCCATCACGGCGTGGAACACCGCTCCCCTACAGGATGACTGTAATGGGGGTGATGACCATCACGGTCACGTGGCTTTCCCTCTCCCCATTTCCAGCCGTTCAATGACTAGTTTATTTATTTGTTTCTTCCATCCTCTCTCCTTTATTTAAATTTTCATCTTCATTTCAGATTTTCACACTTTAAAATTTTCATCTTCTTCTTTTTTACAACTCTCTACTTTTCCAAATTTTTATACTTTTTTTTCACAATGTGGACGTCCTCTGATTCCGATGAAGCGGAAGCTCTTTTCATGAATTGAATACCATGGCTCGGGAAGTTCAGATTCTTACGCAACAACAAGAAAACAACGAACCACGTTGAAGAAGAAAAGAGCTCTACACAGAGTATTCTTCTTTATTTTTCATATTTAATTGAAATATTACTTTAGAAATTTATATTAAATATTATGAAACTAATACGTAGGCGGGCACGCTCGATTAGTTGAGGATTATTTTTCCAAATATGCAACCTACACCGACGAACAATTTATGGGGAGATTCCGCATGAGTTGTCATCTTTTCCTCTGCGTTGCAAGTGATTTGGCGGGTGCAACTCTTTTTTTACGTTGCGACATGATGCGAGACAAAAAGTTGGCGTCTCAACGCTGCAAAAGCACAACGCAGCACTGCGACAATTGGCATATGACAACACTGCAGATTCACTCGATGAGTATTTGCACATGTCTGAACGAGCGGTGCGGAAATTCCTGTACAAGTATTGCAAATGGGTTATTAGATTATACAGCAAACAATACTTGCGCAGGTCCAAACACATAAAGACGTGCAAGCCTTATACGCCACCCATGAAACCCGACATGGGTTTCCCGATATGTTAGGTAGTATTGATTGTATGCACTATGCATTGCACGATTATCCCAAAGCATGGCGTGGTCAATATACGCGCAGTGATCACGGACACCCCACACTGATGCTTGAGGCTATCAACTCTCTTGATCTGTGGATTTGGCATGCATTTATTGGGGTGGACGATTCGAACAATGATTTGAACATTCTTGGCAAAACCCAGCGCGACCTTTCACACCATAAAAGTGACATTTCATTATGTACGCTTGTTGTATCTTAAATAACATGATTATCGAAGACAAAGGACGTGCGATATGCGAATACGACCCGAACGATCACAATGGTAACTTTGAACCGGTTATTGAAGAACAAAATTTCAACAGCTTCGACTTAAATAACACGGATAAACATCACAACCTTCGTGCGGATTTAGTTGAGCATTTATGAAACTATGCTTCTCCACTTCCAAATGATGAGTAATTGTATTTTATTATTTCCGTTTATTTAATCGCATCAATGTAATTTTAATTTTAATATTTTTGAAATATTTATTTAATGTTATTTATTTTAAATTAATTATTTTAAAAAATTAGGTATGATGGACTGTGATGAGAAAGAGAAAATTTTAAATGGCGCTGAGTGAGATGGTGTGATGAGTATGATCCATCATGACAGCATACCATATAGGTCTAATAAAAAATGTCATAAAACATTGGAGTACAACTCTAAAGTTGACAAAATATTTACTGCCATCATAATTATCATCCAAAAAAAGAAGGTGCGGATCCTAGTAAAAATGCCACCATTTCTTCTTCCAATATTTTCTTTGAAATGGGGGGTAATACTTGGTTTTCCCTTGATTTCTTTGTGCACCAACAATGGAGTAGTATTTATCACAATTGGGCTACAAAACCACCATTGTTTAAGGCAAGGAACAAACTTAAAACAAAGAAGAATGAGGGAAAGATGGTGGGGGTAGGGGGTGATGATGGGGTTCGAGCGCCGCTACCGAATATCATTCCAAAGAAGTTGCCGCTGTCGCCGGACTGGCTTCTGCCGCCACCGCTACCGCCTCTATTGGCCGTCCCTCCGCCGGAGATCTTGTTGTTGTCCCTGCACATTAGAACGAGACACGATTTAACTTCACACACATTGGAATTAACCTCGGGTACCCCAGGTATGACCCTAAGTTTGACACCAGGGTCGGCCTTGAAAAATGAAAAAATAAAATTAGCCCAGTCCGAAATTTACATTTTGGCCTTATTTTAATACTTCTTCCGTCCCCCTGTATTTGTCCACTTTCATTTTTACACACCATCCAATGCACTTTTTTAATCCATTTTATATTGTAATTTGTATATTAAAAAATTATAAAAATTATATATTAATAATCTATATTTTAAGACAAATCAAACAAGATCACACATGACTATATTTAGGCTTACAAATTGAGAGAATTTGATGAGTCAAAGTGCTTAGATGAACAGTTCCAAAAGTCAAATGTGGACAAATACAGGGGGGGACAGAGGGAGTATTTTAGAATATTTATGCTTCAAAACTAATGATGAATTTAAAACGGAGTCCTAAAATTTTAGGCGCCCTGTGCGGTTAATCATCATTTTGCACACCCTTCAGGCCACCCATGTTTGACACCACAACCTTAACAAACATCGCGACAATACTGTGGGTTGGGTCAAAGCCTATCTATTGAAGAAATCATCTAAAACATAACAAAAAATAAGAGTACCATGTTTTTTATCTCTGAAATAAAACTATTGTCTTGTGAGGCATTCCACAATGTTTTTTGGTATTAAATATTGGCATTACAAATTCTAATTTGGGATATATACAGTCTTATTTGGGACACTTACGGTACTCTGTTCGCAAAATTTAATGGTTCTTGCCCCTCATAACCCCCGGCAGACTCTCTACCCGTTCTCAACCCTAACCTATTTCTTTCAATTGCGGGGTGCAAGTTTAACTGATTTTGAGTCAACATTTTAATGGAGAGTTAAGAGGGATTGAAACAATACATTTTGCGAACGGACCACCATAGGTATGCATGAAATTGGGCCCATCGTACTTTTTCTATCTTATACTCTCCCCGTCTCAAAATAAAGCTTCAGTTCATTTTACAAAATTTGACTAAAATTTTATTCACATTAATATAAATAAAAATTGGTGTAAAATTAAAAAATAAAAATTATAAATATATATTTCATTTTTCATTTTTCATTTTTTTAACACTTGTTGATTTCCATGAATGTGAGCAAATGAAATTGAAATCAAATGAGAATTTAATAATAATAATAATAATAATTTCATAATAACATTAATAATTGTAATAATAATACAAGTAGTTGATCGATGAACTAATTAATTAATAATGCAAGATATATTAGCTATAGTTGTGTGAAGAAAGGGGGGGGGGCCACTGCCTCAAGGAATTATAATATAATAGAGATAAAAAAGAATGATGTGTGTTTTCAACTAACATCAACCTCAAGAAAGCTGGAAAGCATGAACTAATTAATTAATTAAATAAATAAAGCATATATAGTTCCCAAAAAAAGAAATGAGAGCACAAAAAAGTCCACCTGGCTACCAAAAACAACAGCATGCATGAACTGGTCTTCTATAATAAAATGGACCCAGATGGGACTGATGCATGAGGACAGGGTTGGAAATATAAAAAGTTACTTTTAAAAAAATTATAATCCAGGCACAATTGCATTATCTTTGATTTAATCACTTTCAAAAAAAAATAAAAGAAAATAAAAGGGGAAAATTGAACTAAAGACATGAAAATATATTTCTCTTACATTTTAGTGAAGGAATCAGAAAAAATCTACTTTCTTTTTTCATTTCGAATTCTGCGGACCAAACATAGGGTAAATATTTTTGCTAAGACTACAAAAAATAAAAACTCCTTCAGTCTAATAATTATCTTTTCGTTGTGCATAACGATGCTTGACTAAAATTATTTTCAAAAAAATTATGTTAAGTTAACAAATAAAAATTACATATTTAAAAATTACATCAAAAGATCTACAAAACTAGATGTGACATGAACATATTATTTTATCAAATAGGCAACGAAAATAAACTAACAAAATAAATCAAGTTTAACTATGTAAATAGTAAATAGGAGGATAATTTCTAGACCGAATGAGTACTAAAATCCAATATTCTCCGTCCCCAGTTTGATTACAAATTGGGTTTTACAATGGAAAATATCTCACCTTTTAAAATCATTTTATTTACAAATCGATATCTCGATAAGAAATAAAAATTACATATTAAAAAAATATGTCAAAAGTTCTACAAAATAAAAGGTAACAGAAATATTTCATTTTATCAAATATACTTAATGAAATCGTGTAAGCAAACAAAAGTTATTGAGAGAAGAGAGAAAAAAAATTGGAATCAAATTGAGAACGGGGGTATATGTCAGAGTAAATTGAAAGATTCCATATGTTACAGTAACACATGGTCTACTTGTCTTCTACAATCCCGTTTTCAACTTTGTGTTTTCTTGTTCTACATTATTTGTAATTGAATAAAAAAACAATACCCAAAAATATTTGACAAAACTGAAATAATCCGTAACAATTTTCATTTGCTTTTTAAAAAAGGCATTGATATATTACAAAGGCAATAAACAAGCATATTTACAAAACATAAGTTCTTGTTTCTTTTTTATTTCTTCAATGAAAAAATGGCAAATCAAAGAAAATTATTTTCTTTTTTTTTTCTTTTCAAATTCCTTAAACCAAACATAATGATAAAAAAAAAATATGATTATTTAGAATTTATCTAGAAAAGAAATGTCTTGGCAGCCACACATCTATTACAAAAAAATATCTACCTAAACAAGACTAAAATATTATACTTATATCAAAATAGAACTTATATTTTTCTCCCCTAATGCCACAAGTTGACTAGTCTCATTTTTCAGTTTTTTTTGACATTATATATTACTCCCTCAAACCCACAAAACTTATCTCTTTTTTTTTTCTGTCCCAAAAAATCTTTCTCATTTTTAGTAAAAAGTCACTTTTATTCTTACTAAATCTTAAAATACTTATCATATCACACTTTATCACTATTAATTTACAAATCACAACTACTTGTACCCATCATATCCAAGAGGATTTTTGAAAAGTCACTGCCAAAATATATTTTTTTATGGTATGTTTGGGAAAATGAATTTGGTTTTTAAATCCGGATTTGATTCAAATTCCATGTTTGGGAAACTTAAAAATTTTAAATTTGGATTTGAGTTAAATTTTTCTCATTCATAACAAAGCTTAATTTGAAATCCATGCACCTCCACTCGTCATTTGAAATGAAATAAATGAATTGAAATGAAATACTAGTCGCCAAACACTACCTTAAATCTTTTAAAAATCAAAAATCGAAAAAATTTTAGTTAGAGAGAGGAAGTAATGCTCTTTGCATTATGAGTCCAATTGTTTCCTTTACCAAAGCAATTAAAGAACAAAATAAGTGTAAGTTTTTTTTTGGGGAAAATCCAAAGGAAAGTGTAAATTAATGCATATGGCGGGCGTACCTGGATCCTCCGAAGCAACCGGCGTTCATGGTGAGGCGGCCAATGAGCTCGGCGGATTTAGGCTCCAAGCTGGACGCCTTATCGTATTGGGCGGGGAGGCGCTGGCCGTCGCCGGAGGGGACGAAGAAGGCTCCGTTGACGAGCACGTCCCCGTCGGTCCGCCAGTTCCAGTCGGTCCAGTCCCCCTCGTCCGTGTCCACGCGCTTCGTAACCTCCTTGGCGCTGGGGTCGGCGGGGGCGGTGTAACGGTTGGCCTGGCTGTTGATGGTGGGGCCGCCGCTGCCGCCGATGGCGTACATCTGCCATTCCGTGAAGTCGTTGTTGACCACGTGGATGTACCCTCTCCTGCACCTCGGCATCCTTTGCACGAGCCCTTCCCCGAAGTAATTGAACGCAATCGTCACCTGCACCCGACCCGACCCGACTTTCATTCATTTATTTTAATTTAAGGAAATGTTATTTTAACCCTAACATTTGAAATCCAAGATACTCCCCGTCTCCGTGTATTTGTCCACATTTGACTTTTGGGACTGTTCATCTAAGCACTTTAACTCATCAAATTCTCTCAATGTGTAAGCCTAAATATATTCATGTGTGATCTTGTTTGATTTGTCTTAACATATAGATTATTAATATATAATTTTTATAATTTTTTAATATACAAATTACAAGATAAAATGGATTAAAGAAGTGCATTAGATGGTGTGTAAAAATGAAAGTGAACAAATACAGGAGACGGAGGGAGTATAATTTTAGCCTTCATTCGACAATATTCCGTGTTTGCAATAGGTTACTACTCGTTAGTAGTTCTACAAATTAATGAGTATCATTTTATTTTTAGAGTTAAATATTTTATGGGCAATGATATTTTGATCAGAATTCATTGAAATAAAAATAAAGTATACGGAGTAATATTTATTTTCAAAATAAAAGCTTTATGTTTTTATTCTCAAAATAAAAATTTGTACTGTAATATTATAACATTGTATAATGATACATCATTATATTTTCTGGTTCTATATATTGGTATTATTAGTATTATATTTAATTTGGGGATAAATATTATTAATCCTATATTTTGCTATGTTTGCATATCTTATTCTTAATTTAATCTTTTTTCCTATTTTGAAATCCAAAGTTTCTATGTGCAATTAAAATCATGATTTTTTTGAACATGTAAGTACATGATACCTTCTCTAGGTGTCATTTTAATGATTATAATGCCACCAATAAATTTACTTTAAAATTAATTTATTCGATTGTAAGTGTAAAATAAAAAAATAAAATTTATATATATATATATACTTAAAGATAAAATTAAAAATTCAACAAAAAGAGATGAGACAGGTAAAGAAAATGGGAACAAAACAGGGAGGGTAAAAGGGTAATTAAAAAAAAAGGCAGACCTGCATACCGGAGTCGGGGGAGTAGCGGTCGTCGTGGCCCAAGAGCATGACCTCATCGTGGTGGGAGAAGTAGTTGTTGGAGATGGTGATGGCGGTGGACCCCATGATGGCGTCCACCAGCCCGTCTGTACAGTGCGACAGCGCGCAGTGGTCGATCCAGATGTTCCTCGACCCGAATATCGATATCCCGTCGCCGTCCGATCTGCTCCTCCACNATATATATATATATATATATATATATATATAATGGAGTATATTTTACAATGATGAAATATATATTTATAGAATTATTAAAAAATGAAAAAGTTTTATGCAAATGTATTCAAAGATCTTTTTAAAAAATCAAAATGGACCAATGAATTAAAATGCATAAATCCACATCATTAGTGAGTGCACATGTGGATGCACATGTGGCATGCCACATGTCAACACTACAACAATTGAATTCTCTTTTACATATATATAGGATATAGGATAGGATGTTTCAATAGCTTATGGTCTTATGATTGCGTGCAACTCTTAAGAGAATGTTGTTAGAAATCATTAATATCTGCATTGGTATTTTAGCATGATTTCCAAATGTAGGGTTTGATGAATGACAAACAATGAAGTCAAAATTTGTGATTGACAAACAATGAAGAAAAACATGTGGTGCTAGCAAATAGTGCAAAAAACTACTGCTAGATTCCATTATTTTTCCGACAAAGATTCCATTATTTTTTTTAGAGAAAGCGAATTGATTAACCAACATAATTGCTCCGATACCACATGTTGATCAATTCTTAAACATAAAATATAAATTAGGGATTTAATCATGTGTACCTGATAATCCTGTAAACGTGGTTAGGGATGAGGCCATGATTCTTACGCAGATCGAGTTCCCGTTTAGGGTGTATCGTTATGATGGCTAAGGTGAGGAAGACTCACGAGAATAGAGAGGCAGAGAGGAGGCGTAAGATTGGTGTGTTCTGATCTCTGCCTAATGACCTCTATATATACACCCAAGGGGAAACCCTAATTAGGTCATAAGGGTAATTACGTCCATCGAATAATTACCAATTAAGTACGTAGGGTATTTATTAGGTCAATGATCAATTAATTAGATAAATGATAACTCAGGCCACATAATAAAATCGTGTCTAACAAGTATAACCATACTTTTTTTGTGTGGCAAATATTACGAATAACCTCAAACAATTTGAAAAGAATCATCAAAACAAAAGTAATAATAATAATAATGATAAAATAAGCCGGTTTCGATTAGGCCAATCTAGAAATAAAAGCATGAAACTTTAGCCGCCAATTCTTATTTTGATTTCTTATTTTGATTCCAGATTTCGTTATGTTCTTGTATCGATTTAGAATTGATGTTGTGTTCAGCCGCATGGTGAGATACATATGTCCCACCTTCATTTTATTACGTCCATTTCTTTCCTCCATTAGCGTTACCTAGATTTCACTAATTTCATGTTTTCCATATTACAAATATGTTACATGTCAATTCGTCATTTTAATAATTAGTCAACCAATAATATAATTTAATTTTTGAATAATCAACTCTTACAAATAACATATAGATTAAATCTTAAATTTTAAAAATCAATTTTTATTAAGAATTGTTTGGCATATGGGGAACAATTAACTTTAATAAATAATACAATTATTCATTTTTAATTATAAATAAATTTAAAATGACACTGGCGGTACTATTAGTATCATTTGCTTACATCAAATTATTTGGAGATCTACAATGCTCCATTGGTAAAATAATAATTTCTACCTTCCATAATATCCACTAAACCGTCCGCATAGCTCCACCCTAGTCCACCATTTGCCTCCCCTCCTTATCCCTCAAAACCTTGCAGGAAAACATCACATCTCGGTCTCGCCCAAATTCACCACCACCCCGGTATACATCATTTTCAGGTCAATATTTGACTTTAAAATCAATTAAATTTTGTGAGGCGTATTTAAAAAGAGCGCGTGGTGGATTTGAGTCGGGCTGAGGTGGAGATTTGACGGGATTATAAGGGCTAGGAATCCTAATTGTTTTGGATGAAGTACTTTAAGTGCTCCTAATTAGAATCTGAATCATAGAATGACATTGGAGCTTAATGTCACATAAATTTTAATGTTTTTAACTCCTCACAATTAATAATACTTGTTTCGACTTTCGAACAATAATATTGATCTAGTTTGGTCGAAAAAATGTATAACTCTTTCAATGCAAGTTTTATTTAGTTGATATTAATGTTTATCTAATTTGGTAAAAAACAAAATTAAATTAGACGAATATTTTAAGAATGAAAATATATTTAATAAGATGTGAGTAAATTCACTATATATTTTTTCACCTAATATATTTTCTTTTTTTCATTTGATTAAAAATAAATTTTATCTTTTATTTTCTTTCTATAAAAGAGATAATGAGCATTTGAGATGCACTAAAAACAATCATGCTAGAGGTACACCAAAAAATGAATCCAAAAGGATGCACTAGTAGTTTAACGATTCACACTGTATAAAATGTTAGTTCGATCAAAAAAATTTACACTAACATATTATCTCATTATAAAGTATTACACTACGTCACACTGTCACAAAATATTGTGCATATCTTGGAGGTATAAAATGGAATATAACTTTTGGAATACAAATATCATTTTCACACTTAAACTAGTTTTTAACCCCGTGCTCCGCACGGGCTCGTATATACCCTAGTTAAATTTTCTATGGAGTATTAATTATGATAGTTTTTAGGTATAAATAATAAATAAATACTCCGTAAGATACATAAAAAATTGGAGAATAAAATATTGAATACATGGTATGGAGTAGTAAACTTTTCTAAAAAGAAAATGAAATTTTATTGTTAAAAAGAAAATAAATAGGAAATGACCAAAGCAAAGCCAAAAACACAAAAAATAAAGAACCCTGAAAAATACCAACACTTGAATCTAAATCTTAATCTAAAACTGCCAACAACAAAGGAACCAAATGAGTGTCCAACCATATATTGTCTCTAGAATACCAAGGTTGTTTCCTATCCTGGACGTGGAACAAAGTTCCAATCGTCACAAAATAAGTAGTTTTAAGCATCCTTTTCCTGGATAAACTTTCAAGACCCCCAATCAAAACACAACCAAAGCTACTCTACTTTTGTTTCAAGTCCAGAATGAATTTTTTTTATATGCCACTATAAAAAATTCAAAGCACTAAGAATACTAAAAATGGCCATTTATATAGATACAAATACACACAAATCCTAACTCAAGCAGATCCCAACTTAACTTCCCTTAGAGACCATGGAATAGCAAATATATGCAATCAATTAACCTAAAAAATGAAAGAAGTAATTAACCAAAAAACATCTAATCACCAAAACCCAGGGCACTGACCTTTTTTATTTGTCATCCTAAACAACCTCAAGGCACTTTAACTGTAATTACTAAATCACACAG